AGGCTCTCTAGTTGGCTAGGCCTTCTCTCCTGATGCCATGTCATGGGGTCAGTGATCAGACCAGGCTGCTCTGGCTCCTTTCCCATGTCCCTTCCCAGCATTTCTAAACTTACTAGTTCCCAGGATCTGCCTGGGAACACCTGGAGATGGTGGTCTTGAGATAAGTTCTTCCTATCCCTCTGTCTGCAGACCTCATTTCCTCATTCAAAATGTTGCTGCTACCCTGGCCGTGGAAAGCACATCAAGAATAACTGGCTCTTTCATTCCCAACAGCCAGCTTTATTATCCCTGTTTGGATGGTTCATTACCACTGCCTGTGGATTCTTCCCTCCCAAAGACCTTGCATCTCTGACAGTGAAGTGGGAGCTCAGCCCAGTTTTTAGGGGACTCACACCCAAGTTGCCTGGATGGCAACCATAGGCAAGAAATTGGTTGTGAATGTGATGAACAGAGTATCAACTGGAATAAGTTGAACCAATAATTAGGAGATGGCAATTGAATTATTGAGGACATCAGTGCCAACCAGTAGGAATGGCAGTGGAACTCTGTCTTAGGTTTAGCAATTATTCTGGCCTTGATCTTGTCCTGCTCCTTCAGGAAGAAGAAATTCTGAGTATTTAGCTGAGTATTTAGCAAAGTGAATGGAGCCAGCTGTGCAGATAAGAAGTGGCTGTGCTTCTTGGTGATGGGGGCTTGCCTGCTTTTGGACCTTGGTAGCAAACATCCTCACATTTTCTGTAAGCTACATAGTTATCATGCTTACCTTATGGGGTTTTTGACATGTTTACTGCATGATGCAGTGGGTATGGGTAAGACACTTTCTGCCTAGCATTGGAGGACTCTGCATAACTTGGGATGCCCTGAGTGTAAGCCAGAACATGTTTAGGAGTTCCACTTCATTTTCTGCATGCCTTTTCTTTGCTTATCCATTTGGATTTCCATGTCATTTCATTGAAGTTCCTATTGGATGCAATAGAGTCTTAAAGGAGGGGACCCATAAGGAACATGAGAAGGCAACTATTAGCAATGTACCTTTGTTGTAAGCCTTGGGTATTTCTGCAAAAAGGACGTTTGTCATCATACTATAGCCAGCTTCCATGGATATGAAAATTGTGACATAGCCACAAGCTCCATGCTTTATGTTTAAGATTTGTGTTCCCTCACTGGATAGAATTAATATATTTTGGCAGTGTGCTATGATTGGCAGTGGAGTTGGTTGGGATCATTCCTTCAGTACAGACTGGGGAAGTGGACTGATAAGGCCATTGACTAAAATGGGAGTGTTTTAATTAAAGTGACTTCTTTGCATGCATATCACTGGGAGCAAGAGCAAGCCCTGACAAATAATCTTGCTAAAGTCCACTGTACACTCACCATACTGCTTCTCCTTATTTTGCAGTTCCCTGGTTTGTCAATGTAATAATATTTTGCATATGCCATGCTCTCCTTGCTCAGAGGAAAAGAGCATCTATCTCATCTCTGCCCACCTATATACCTTTGCAGAATTTTCTGAAAATTGTGCATGCTTGAATATATTCTTACGATCTTTTATATAGAGGCATGTTTCTCTCTGTTTGTTTCTCACTTACAATGCTTACATAAATAATTAAATAGAGCTTCATAATAAATTACAGTTTAATAAATTACATGTGATACATTTTAATAAGATAAATAACAATTTGTTAATATAACCAGCCTAAATAGTCAACCATGGGGGGGGGGTAGTATGTATGTATGCTTTCATGTGTATTGTCTATAGCTCAAATTATTAGAAGTTTCTAAATGATTTTTCTGCAATCTGGAATTGTTTACATGTTATCCTGATTTGTTAGCCTAAGTTTTGGTTTAAGCTAGGGTAAAAAAATAAGAGGCACATTAGTTTTAGATACCTTGTCATGTAGTGTAAATACTAGACATAAAACTCACCTATTTTTTAAAAAAGCACAGAAGGATGTTAGTACAGGCCTGTGTCTACTCAGAAGCAAGTTCCACTGAGTTCAATCACACATTTGGGCAAGCATGTATAGGATTTCAGCCCACTAGTACCTATTAAAATGAAAATTTTGTATTTCCTGTTGAATTTGAAACCTTATTATGTTGCAATCCCGCAGATACACAGAACACTTCCCATTGAACTCAGTGGGAGTAATTTCTGAACTGAAACCCATAGGATTCTTCTGTTTCCTATTTTAAACACTAATTAAAAACTGCATGTTTAGTGTTTTAATTATGTGCATTAAGCTTCATATTATCTGAGATATTATTTATAAAATGTCTTGTCATTTTCAAGAAGAGGCTGGTAAGATTTATTTTTCTGAAAACTGTACTCTGAATGATAATGCCCTCCTGGAATTCAACTATTCACACAACTTTATCTTATTTAATATATGATGCTACCCACTATTTTTGATACCAGCTTGGAAAGTTGCCTTCCTAAGCAAGAAGAGTCAAGAATGAATTATATGATAAATGCATCTGATGGCAGTAACTGCAAAAAGGACCTGCTGATTGCAGTTGGCTTAAGGCTGTTAATGTAAGCATTTTGAGGATCATACTGATTTGTACAACTTGAACATATTTTAGATTTGCGTTAGTTGGCAAGTTGTGTTGAGGCAGTCTGTTGTCAGATCACCATCTTTTTCTCATTAATGTACTACTGGTTTAAGACATTCATGTCTATATTGATATGCAAAACCTTCCCCTCTTAAGCCCTGAAGTCTTCCTTAAAGGTTGTTGAAATGATTGTTCAGTTCAATATGTCATTAAAGTCCTTCAGATTTCTAACTTTTTCTTGGAAAGCTATATTTTATTAGTCTTTTTATTGCATTAGGAGCCACCATTTGGCCTTCATAATGAAGTAAGCATGTCATATTATAATTTGCATTTGAATGAGAAGCCATATTATAAGGATAAAATGTATGAATTGGAGAAGGATAATTGAAATGTATGCATTTTGTTAAAATGATGATTACAATTAAAAAATGAAATCATGTCATTTTTCTGCAAGTGTTATACTTACATTCCAGCACCTCTGAAGCAATGCCACCAACTTGGACCACTGCAGGACAGCCATAAACTGTCCTTCGATGTTTAATTAACATTATTTCTGTACAAGAAATTACAATTATTTTGTCTCAGAATTTCAGTGCTGATTATCTATCTGCTAATTTTATGCCTTTCAGTTAAAAGAATTAGGACTCAAGGGGAGCATTAATGTTTTTGGTGGAAATGTTTCTTTCCTTCCACTCATCAGAACTGAACCTAAGCGGCTGTGTTTGTGTATTGTTTTGGATACATAATAATGTATTCTATTTTAGTAGGTACTACAAACATCTCTTTCCTTAGGTCATATTTCCAGAATTGGAAGGGAGCTCTAATTTCTCCTTCAGATTCTGAATCTGTGTCCATTTTAATGTTCATATTGATGTATATCTATTCCATTTCTTTATGTGTGTGTCTCCATTACATTACATTCCACTATACTTTCAAGCATATCTTGCTAGTTCAAATTGAAACCTTAAAAAGATTATGAGCCATCATCATTTAATAGCTCAAGGAAGCCAGTTGATCAGTAACTGTACAGCACAAAGTTCTCATGATTACCGTTTAGATAATGAATCTTGTTTATTATTTGCAGAAAAGCTTGGCATGTTATAGTGTCCTTATTTTCATATAGAGATAATCTTTCCCAACCTGGGGCCCTCCAGATGTGCTGGTCTACAAATCCATCATCCCTCCCAGAGAAGTAGTAATTTAGCACAACTGGTGAGCACCAAGTTGGAGAAGGATAATTGATGCTCTCTGTCTCTGATGCCTTGGTTCATAATAGGTAGAATTCAGCAGTTATAGGCTGCCTATAAATACATGTATAAGTAAATAAGTAAAGTTCCTGTTGAAAACCCAGCATGAAGTATCTGTGACCTTCTGCACTATTACAATTTAACATCTCCACCCAGCTGTGATTGCCACTGTGGAGACAACTCCTAACTTGTGTGTAACTACATTAATTTTTATAACACTGCCAACACCCCCCACCCCCCATGCAAGTGCATTCCCTTAAAATTTCATTGTTCTATTATGGATTCTTTGGGAAACTTAAATTACTACCTGCTTATTTTTCACATTCCTTTTAGAATAAAAAACAAGTTCACTGATCTTTAAATGCAAGTTACTGCGTATTGCATTAACTAACATTTTCCCCACAAGCAACCACTGTGGCAGTTTAGCTTTCTGACCCAGAATGTAGGATTAAAAATTTGGTATTAATAAACTAAGTGCGAACATTGGAAGTAAGTGAAAGTAATGCTAGAAATGTATCCAAGAAAGATTTTCCAACTCCCTCCATGTTCCACCTTATTCCAAAAGATGAAATGCATATGTTGTGGCACAAGAAATTTGCAAAATAAAGACACCCAAGTAGGGACCAGTTAGAATATGCTTTGGAGAGTCACCAGTATATTCCTTCAGTGACAGTTTCAGCTCACCTCAATTTAGCGACACTGTTTTGGATTATCTCTAGTCCTAGTAAAGGATCAAGATTGCAGCTTTCCCTACAGCACTTTCTGTATGCAGTAATTACATTAGTGGGTTTCATGCAGAATTTGGTCAGGTGAAGAGAGCCAAATTTGAATCTCTGTCAGGTCAACCAGACTTAACACATAACTAATACAATATGGAAAATGGACTCTTAAGCAGTTGATACGTTGACATGTGAAATGGATAAAAAACAATGTAACTGTGTCAGTTTTACAGACAGGATTCAGATTCCTAGATGAATGGCATGCATTACTCTTTGGCTTGGTAGTTATAGATTACTATATCTAGTAATCTGTTATATCTATTACCTATAATTTAGTATTATACTATCAAAAACGATGCAAAACATTGCCTTTTTAGTGCATGTAACATTTAAGATTAATTTAGAGAGACAGTAAAATGTAGAAGAGGGATTTGGTGTTAACCAGGTAGGCATTTAAGTATTTTTATTTTGTTTTAACCAGCCTCTTGTACCTAGAAGTCCTACAAGCAGTGTGGCCACACCTTCCAGTACTATCAGCACACCTACCAAGAGAGACAGTTCAGCACTCCAGGACCTCTACATACCACCTCCTCCAGCAGAGCCTTATATTCCCAGGTGAATTGATCATCCTGATAATTTGCAGTTATAACCATGTGCAGTGTTCCACCCATGAAAAAGAAAAAAAAAATAGTTACCAGGATGTGATAGGACAAAGTGAAAGATGAGATCTCAGTGCATTGAGATCATTCAAGATCTACAACCTGCATGGTACCCACCATGGAATTTTCTGATGGTTGTGTGTGTGTGTGTGTGTGTGTGTGTGTGAAACATGGGGGAGAAACATTGATATCAGAAAAATAAATTCCCCATTTCTCATGGCAACAATTTCTCTACTTTTTATATTTGCAAAGATATGAAGCAAATAGTGTTTCAAAGTCACATATGTAGAAATCACAGTATTTTCTTGTTGTTGGATAGATTCATATGGTCCACCCCAGTGTTTGAGTAGGCTTGTCATCCCAATTAAAATTCTGCCACATCATTTAATTCTGTCTCATCAAGTTCTGGTAGTAATTTTTTCTGTAAATATTACATTTGGGTTTGGCAATACATGTAGTCTGTTTTTATTTTTGCTTCCCTTGCAGTTGGAAACATAATGGTCTGTCTTTAAAACCCATTATTAGTTTGTCATGCATTGGAATGACAGATATATGCCAATTCATGTACTTGCTAAGTTTCAGTGTAGTTGTACATAACTGAAAAGGAAAGAATGAGATTTCATCAGAAAAATGTAGGACCCATATGACAAATTTGTTCTGTTTACTTAGTTAAAAGAAATACAGATAAAGTAGCCAGAGTTATTCTGGCTTAAAGTAATACAACTGTTCCATCTTTCAATTGTAAATCCAGTATTTGACCACTGGACTGTGTGCTAGACAGCTGAATTAAGTCAAGCAAATATTTTGATCAATCTGTATTATTATATCTAAAGTTTACAACCAATTAGTATAATTTAACAATGACAGAGTTAAGAAAACAAAACTCCCAGACCCAAAATGCAAAGTGTATGAGAAGGGAGGTTCCTGCCCCAGAAAGTATTGCATCATTTTGGTTTCCAACCATTGCAGGGTTTGTTCATTTTCTTTTTATTTGACTATTCATACTAGGAAGTCAAAATACTGAGCATGGGCTTCCTTATAGCTTACCCATACTAATACGAGGCAAGCCAGCCTTGATTACCTGTTCCTCAGGTGTCTTCAGGATATTGTCTATTAGTTAAAATGAAGTCTACTTTATGCTGAAATGGCAAGCAAAAACCTATAACTTTATGTAATGCTTACTGGAACCTGAAGTGCAAGAGGTTTGCAGACATAGCATAAACCTAAGCATTTTTTCAATGGATCATTAACGTTTTAAATTGATCTTCTAACCGAATATATTCTCCTAAAAATACATGTGCAAGAAATTACTGGAAACAGAAAATGTTAGTTAAAAGTTAACATGAGAATCAAAGGGTAGTCTGATTGGGTAGCACAAACTGGATCGTTATGCTTCATCTTTCATTAGATTTACTGTGCTTGAAGTTTGATGTGAATTAGTTGGGATATGTGTGATACTTGCATAGTCCAGGATGCACAATATTAATCCATTATGTATCTAAATATATTTCTTCTAAGGGATGAGAAGGGAAATCTACCATGTGATGACATTGGAAGGCATCTAGTGGGAAAGCCAGTACATAAGGGATCTGAATCTCCAAATTCATTTCTTGACCAAGAATATCGAAAACGTTTTAATGTGGTTGAAGAAGATGCTGTTCTGTATTGTTATGAATATGAAAAAGGAAGAACAAGTAGCTCTGGAAGGAGAGAGAGTACTCCAACCTACGGTATGTTGCAGTCCTTCCTGATTGATATTTTTTTTCTCCAGAATGTACAAAAATTGTCTTTCCCAGAAAAGTTCATTTACCATTTCTTTCTTTTCACATCACTCCTGTGGTTTGATATATGGTATGCACTTTATTAAATCCAATCCTGGTTGCAGAAAGACAAATTGCTTCCTCTCCTGCTGAATTGGCATGGGACTCTTCATTGTTAACTACATTATAAATTCTGATGTTTGAAATATTTTCTTAACTGCTTTGAGTTGGCAGAAAGCTAGGGAGAATATTGCATGAAATTCATTAAATGAAACTCAGTGGGTATTTGAACAGTGCTAACTTGCACATATTTCCATGTTCACTTGTGTAAATTTCTGATGTTCCATTAAACCTGGAGAATTTAAACAGGGATATGAATATTAGTTTTATGAAGGTATTTCAGTCCTTCAGTCCTGGACTTCATGGGCCATTGCTTTGCAAACCATTATCACATGTGATTAGCACCAAAACACTGAGTCACATAAGAAATACACCCATCACACTTAAATCTTGTTCTATAGGTTTATGTAACCTTTTCTTGTGATGTTGGGTTTTGTAGTGATTTCCTGTTACAATGATGTTTGTCATCATGTCCTTTCTAACTGACTCATAGTTCATCTTCTACTAAAAAGCCATCAAGGTGGTGCACAGCATTTTAAAAAATTTCTCTGCAAATATTTATTTGTTTATTTATAAAATTTGTATGCTGTCCAATTACTAACGTCTCTGGATGGCTAACAGACACTTTCTTGCAGCTCTTAATACCCAGGCAGAGTCATAGTAAGACAAGGCAATTCCTTATATAGCCAGATCCTAAACCAATGATCTTTTGCCCATGTTCAGTAACATTTGTTAAACAAAACAGCCCAGCATTGCTTCCGCTTCATTGCTCTCAACTCCCTGTTAAGCCAGGAAGGGGAGAGCACTTAGGAGCAACAGTGTGAATAACCCAGAGTATTTCCATATCCCACAGATTAGCCAAACGTTCAACAAAATTTCTTCAAGTACATTCAGGAAAACATTTTGATCCATCAGGTACTTGGGAAGGATAATTTTAACTCCCTTACACCTGTAACACTGACAGCCAAACCAAAATAACCACACAGTATCCTGCCCATGATGACAGAGTTGCATGCAATACACACATTGAGAATGTCCACTTGACCACAGAATAGCAACTGCAGAATGTGTTTTGCTGCATGTGTAGAGCCGAATACTAGCATGGTACTTGGTCAGATATTTTGTAAATAAACTTTCCTTGTTTTCCTGAAAAAATAATATTGCCTCATGGTCTCAGCAATTAACTACCTCAAAAGACCAACAATAGGTACATACTGTACCCTCTTCTCCTTGAAAGTTGCTTCCATGACGGGTCACAAACCTACACCACAGATAATCCTATGTGCAACTATTCACAAGTTTCCATTGCCTTTAATGAGACCACCTCTATTGGTGGGTTTGAAGGTTGTAGTTTTAGTCACTCAGAATAGCCAGCCATATGTTCCAGGGAAGTCCACAAAGATGCCCGCGATGGTGATAGTGCCTGTTGCCTGCCATACTGGATTGGTTGCCCCAAGATGTAACAATCAGAAGTACAAATAGCTACAACAAAAAGTTCCCATGAATTCTAATTTCCTGCAGGAGTGTTTCTCTTCAGGATTCTAGCTGCTAGACTTATCCTTTTTTCAGGATACTAGAACTTGTAAGCTGCAAAAGCAGGAACTGTGGAGAACTAGGGAGACCAAACAGAAAAATTACGCTGGGCTGGTAGGTATCTCCAATGTGCAGTTCCTTGCTTTTGGTGATCCTGGATGAAGATGGCTCAAGATGAAAAATGCTGTGGTGAAGAAGACAATAGAGATTGTTTCAGGTGGCATTGAGTGTCATCTCCTTTGGTTCTCAAGCTCAACATTACTTTGAATAGGACACAGATTCAGGGGGGTCACAAGTCACTCTACTGTATACTGGGCTTTACTACGTGAGGTAGTAAACCTGGCACTTTACTGGGGCTTCTGTTTCCAGATTCTGTGAAAAATTCAGAATAGCTAGCTGCTTTATGGGCTTTTCTTTCTCTGTCTTTCTATATGTCACAAATACTGTATTTGTAATGAATGAATGAATGAATGAATGTTACAAATATGCCTTTCTATATGTTACCAAACCACAAGGTGGCACTGTGGAATTGCACAAATGCACTAGAGTTTCATTCCACTGTTTCCAAATCATACCAGATTTTCCTCAGTCAAAAAACAAACAAAAAAATGAAAAACAAAAAACAAGAAAATCCTACACAATTCTTCAGCTTTGTAAAAACATGAAACAATATTTTACTTTTTGCAAGGGAAGTGTTGAGTATGTTATTTTAATGCAATTTCCCACGTGCAGTTTTAAAATCCAAATTGCTGTCTGAGATGGAAATAAGGGCTTGTATCTAACTTAGTCATACATAAAGTGAATCTATTAAAATTAATGGAACATTAGTCACAACTGATTTAGATTCCATTTATTTCAGTATGATTAAGCCTGGATCCAACCAATATGCTGTGATTATATTTTCATCTCCTTAAAAGGATTCCTGTCTTCTACCTAATCCTTGTTTGTCTGCAGGTATTTTCACATATAAACTGCTTTCCTGCCTTCCTTTCGCATCATGAATGTCTTTCTCAGTTCACTTTCTCAGTTCACTTTCTCAGTTACATAATCTGGCTTTGGCATAATCTAATTTAACTGTGTTAATCAATCTATTTATTAAAGATGTTTTCCCCTCCAGGGGAGCAAAATTACTGCATTAAATTAAGAGGTATGTGCTTACCTCCATCATAATCACACACACATATATGTATGTATGAAACAGGGAAATGTTTTGTAGAAAATAATTTAACAATCAGGATTTTAAAGTCATATAATTTGCCAAATACTATTCTACAAGGGGACTAAGATTTATAAAGCCAAATGCTAAATTTTTACAATATTTAAAAACAAGTTTCCACATTTCCGTCTCATAGAGAACAAAGGGTTGCGGAACTGGCTTCTTAGCTAGCTGTAGAGGAAGAGGTAGTGTATGGAAATGAACAGACCACTTGAAAAGGTTGAAGAAATTTTCTAGAGCTATTTGAAATAATAAGGCTATAAGTCTATATAACTGAATTCACAGGGGTTACTTTTGAGTAAAACTGAATGTTCATATACAAGATAGTGCAACAAAGATAGTGGCATCTCTGATGTTTTTGTTTTGGTTTCTTATATATTACATATTATTGGTTACATTACTGTATATTATGATTTTATGAGAAAATGGTGTCTGAATGAGGACAAACGGGAATGGAAAAATACTGAAATGTCTTCCAAGTGTCTGAAAAATGTACATAATGAAAAAAATATGATTTGTACCCTGCCTTTCCACTAAGAAAATGACACAATTAAAAAATATTTAGCTGTTTTGCTTACAATTCAATATGTTGCTAAGTGGATCCTTTTTTATGTTCTTAGCTTTGATCAAAAATATTTTTTTTCTTAATCATGCTATGCTTTGAGCACATGAAGTTTAACTTTTAGTGGGCTAATGCTTTTGTTTAGATGATGGCACATGAAAGTATTTTGGAATGAGTATATTGTAATATGGGCAGATCTGACTTTCCGTTACCATGAGATTTCACAGGAAATACATCATAATGTGGTTCAGACTCTTACCAATCCCACATGATCACCTGCAGAGACATCAGTAGGCTCGTAACCTGATGGAATGGTTAGGGTCAGGTTAACAAAATTATTTAGAACTGGCATAGATCCTACACTGAGTCAGTTAAATGTTAAATATATCACCAGGGTTAATTCACTCATGGGTGTTGCAGCATGTACCAGCTGCTATTTTGCATATGTAGGATACATGCCATGGCTTGTTGTGTCATGAATTGACCTAGGGTTATCCTAAGGTTGTTTAACCCTGGCATAACACCACCACCTGTTTTCACATGACACAGCTCTTGCCTGCCATAGCTTTCATATCCAAAATGGCTGTTGGTGCATGCCATGGAGCATTGTTCATGGGTAAATTAAGTAGAGTGGTTTATTATGATGTTGGCCCAATTATGATGTTGGCCCAATGTTTATGGATGGAGGGAGGAGGGAATCAAAATTTCTTGGATGACAACACCGTGGTAGAAGAACCCTCCATGCTGATTCAGTTGCAGTCACTGTTGTTTTGTTGATTTATGTCAATTTTTAGTGGTTGGGTGCTTTTAACTTTTGTTATGCTCCCAGAGAGCCTTGGGTATTGGGCAGTATGAAAAGGAAATAAATAAATATTAAATTAATAAACTGTTTTCTCATGTAGGCATATTAATCTAATCATCCTTTTTACAAGTGTTTTGAATCAAACAATGCAATCTATTTTGCTGCAGGCAAGTTAAGACCCATATCAATGCCAGTAGAATATAACTGGGTAGGAGATTATGAAGATCCCAGCAAGTCAAAAAGAGATAGTAGGCGAGGTGAGTGACCTGAGACACAAAACTTGCACTGCTCGCTCGCTCTCTCTCTCTCTCTCCCTCTCTCTCTCTCTCTCTCGGTGTATGTGTGTGTGTGTCAAATTGCATGCATAGTTTGTTTAACTATTTCACATAACTGTCAAACATGGACTTTAAAAGGTTTTGTGATTAATGTTCAAGGACATTTTTGACTATTCATTATCAATATCCTAAATTGGCAATGGAAGACTAATTGCCAACATATTTCCATATATGATATCTTGGAATTATAGACCAAGAGGAAAATATTAGATTGGAAATTGTTACAATGCAGTACTGCTGATTTGACTTGATGTAATGGTCTGGCTTGCATGCATTGAACACCCAGAAGCTAAACATGTCACAGACTGCCATCTCTATGCATACCGTTACGTGTAAATGTGGAACTCTTGTCTCTATCCCAACTTGTCTCTGCCCCAACAAACCTCAGTATGGATCAGGTTGTTCATCTGTTCTGGTCCTGCTTGCCACATGTACACTTCCTTGTTCCCATTAATATATAAAACAGGCCACTGTGGTATTTTATATATTTATTTTATTTTTAAAAATCTGCCCTGCCTTTACCCAAAACAGGTCTCAGGACAGCTCACAAACCAGTAACCACACATTAAAATGCAATATTAAAATATTTAAAATTCTAATTATAATAAACTATCAACCTTAAAATACAGGGAAAATAAAAAGGCTTTGGTCTGGTGCTGAAAAGAATGAAGTGTTTTTGTCTGAAAAACAAATTCCAGAGCTGGGGCTTTAACACAAAAAAAAAAGTCCTTCCCAAGGTAGCCACTCTTCTATACCTCCTTCAGAGAGGGCTCCTGAAGAAAGACCTTAGTGGAAGATCTTAAAGTTCAGGCAGGTGTATACAGAAGAAGACATTTCTTCAAATGACCAGGCCTTAAACTGTTTAGGGCTTCGTGTATCACCTAAAGTTAACACCTTAAATTGGGCCTGGACTTCAACTGGTAACCAGTGAAGGTGACCATTACTGGTGTTATATGATCATTTCTACCAGTCCTAGTGAGTAATCTTGCAGCTCTGTTCTGTGCCAGCTGAAATACCTAGACCATCCTCAAGTGTAATCCCACATAGAAGGCATTGCAATAGTACAATTGCAGAGTGGATTGCTATTGCTAGACTCTGCTAATCCAGATAAGGATGTAGCTGATGGACCAGCTGAAGCTGGTAGAAAGTGCTCTTCACAACAGCAGTCACCTGGAATTCCAGAGATAACTCTGGGTCAAGGAACATTCCCAAACTACACACCGTGTCCTTAGAGGGAGTGCAATCCTGTCCAGAACAGGGCAAATATCACCTGGTGTAAGATAATAATTGTACTCTTGTGTGGATTTATGGTATGAAACAATATTTATTCATTTTATTTATTTAAAGCTTTTCTATACCATCCCATTACTGACAATAAATGGATACTTAAGAAAACAGTAGGAAAACTCAAAATGAAGTGGGATGGAAGTACCACAGGTGTCTTGTGGTAATCTATGGGTCCCAAAAATGCTGCAAGGGAAATGATTATAGCCAGGGTCAGTGGGAACCCATGACCTTAGAGAAGTGCTAGTAATAAATAAAATAATACTTTCAGAGTAGGGCACTCAGCTGGCCAACATATGCATTCTGATTGAGCCCTGATATATGTTTACTTATTTTTATAAAGTTAAATTTAAAAATCCCAATGTTGATTTCGGAGAAGGGCACATAAATACCAGGCATTTGATACAATTAAATCTAAACATCAGTATACTACAACTGAGAAGGTTCGAACTCTTTCAAAACCTGCCAAAAAATACACATTGAAGTTTAAAATGTCTGGGCTAAGAAAAATGTTGTAACCCAATGCCAAGGTCCAATACTTATAACATGCACACCTCTCTTCCAAGGTGGCAAATGCATTTCTTTTAAAGGAGGAATATGGAGTACAGAGTAAAACCGTCATATGATGCAGAGAGACTGCTCAGCCTCAGTTGTTTCTGCTGCACTTGTGAGAAGCACCACTTGCTCATCTAAAAACCACCCCAGAAAAACACCAAAGCACTAATTTCCAGATCAGGAAAGTCAGTGGTATTCTCTTCTCTAATCCCCATTGGCCTGTCACATTATGGAGACTAGCATTTCTACTTATCAAGCATCAGAGCCCCATGGTCCAAGCAGAGGCTGCTGTCAGTAAAGGCTCAGTAGGACACTACCTGAAAAGTAATTTGTGATAAAATCATGAAAAAGGGGGCAGTGTTATTTATTGGGTTTAATGCCATTAAGACACAGGATTTCAGACTCCTATCAGTATTCTTTGGTACTTAATTTCAGACACAGTTGCTTAGTAAGATGGTTTGAAGAAAGTGCAGTAAGTCATGTGCCATGGATTTCAGCAAGATTTTTCACTGATATGCTTTTTGCAATGCAACCTTTCCAATTTTTATCTAGAAAATTCATTACTTCGTTATATGAGCAATGAGAAAATAGCTCAAGAAGATTACATGTTTCAGAGAAACAGCAAAAAGGACACAGGCAAAAAATCCAAAAAGAAAGGAGATAAGGGCAACAGTCCTAGCCATTACTCTCTGCTACCCAGTTTACAAATGGACTCATTAAGGCAAGATAGCATGAGCACACCTGGACCTGAAACATCTTTGTATCATGTAAGTAAATGTCAAATGGCTTTCGTATATACTGATGCTGTCTGCAGTTGGCTGTCTGACACATGGCTAGATGTTGTTCTTAAAACAGTTCAGTCTGCTCTTCCTTATTTTCTCTTTGAAATATTAGTATACTGTTGGAAAAAAAAATAAGTTCATTATTACTTGAGATATACAAAGCAAAGCTATCTGATAGTCTATCATGCAACACCATTCTCTAGTATTGATGATGATAATGAAAATGAAGATAAACTAAGGATCAGCTGCCATATACTCATACTTGTTTTTAAATTCAGTTATGTTAAAATGGAATTAAACATGTACAAATTGAAAGAGTCTGTTGATTTGTAAGCCATTTTTATGTAATGGCTCCCATAAAAGTTTGTAGAACATCCTGCAACCAACTGCATCTATATAAAACCATTGATTTATGTAACTAGTACTACACAGAGATTTCATTTGGCAATAGATTTTATATGGTATTGAATGTTTGCTAATGAAACTGGGCAATTACTTTAAAAAGTAAAATAGATTATTATTTTCAAAGTGAGGCAATCACTACTTTCTGTAGCGCTATAATTACCTTGCTTTTTCAAGTGACCAAGCAAACAGGTAATTCATGCAGCCAAAATTTGTGAGAGCTTGTATTCCAAAGTGCATCCCAGTTTCTTTGGTTGTCAAAGCAGATGATTCTCCACTGAGCCAAACTGGAGAGCAATGGCCCACTTTTATTCTAGCAGACTCATTTTATCATTTTGATACTAGACCCAGGTGACTGAGGTTTTAAAGAAGGATTATAATAACTCAGTGCAGGGTAAGTGTTAAGAAAAAAATCTCTAGGACCTGTAAATACAATTTTATTTCATTGTAATGAAACATTGACTCATTTTGATGGGGATTCTTGTAGAAGAACTTTATAGTCAATTTTTTGTGACAGTAGAACAAACTGAACCACCCTGTTTGTGGAACAACCCATGATGTTTGGGGAAGTGTGAAAAAGTAGAGAACACTAAAGAAATGTAAATAAAATAATTAAAAGTGACAGTATTGCATTGCTAAGTGGGAAATAATAGAACAGTAGAGCTGGAAGGGGCCTATAAGGCCATCAAGTCCAACCCCCTGCTCAGTGCAAGATTCCAAGTTAAAGCATCCCTGACAAATGGCTGTCCAACTGCCTCTGGAATGCCTCAAGTGTGGGACAGCCTACAGCCTCCTGAGGTAAATGCTTCTATTGCTGTACTAGTCTAACAGCCAGGAAGTTTGTCCTGATGTCCAGCCGGAACCTGGCTTCCTGTAAGTTAAACCCATTATCTGTGTCCTGAACTCTAGAATTGTGGAGCCTTCCTCAGTGTGACAGCCTTTCAGGGATTTGAAAAGTGCTCCCAGCTCTCCCCTCACTCTTCACTTCTGAAGGCTAAACATGCTCAGTTCTTTCAATCTCTCCTCATAGCACTTTGTTTCCAGTCCCTTAGCATCTAGTTGCCCTGCACTGAAAGTTTTCCAGTTTGTCCACACCTTCTTGAAGTGTAGTGCCCAGAACTGGACTCAGTATTCAAGATGGAGCCTAACTAATAATGAATAAAGCACTAATGAAATTTGGAAGGTGCAGTATGTATACTTACCAGTAGGCAGATGGAGAATTATTATGTGCCTTTTCATAATTGGTCCAGAACTGCCACATTAATTTGTTGATGAAGCATTAGTGCTCATCAGTCCATGAAGTGAAAGCATCTATAAGAACGCCAAAAGGTCAAAAGAGAGCTTTTTTACTATCGAGCAACATATTCCTTGTATGCAATAAACAAACTTTCAGTATACTGATTTGTTATCTTGAACAAAACTAATAATTGTAGAACTCTCCAAACTACAGTAAAGCAGATTTTAAGTAGGTGTTTAAGTTCTTAAAGCTTGTTATTATCCAATTGCAGCATATGTTGCTTGATATCTTTTCAAATATCTTGAAGTACCAGTAGTGAGTTCATCCAAATATCCAGCTATATCCACGCATTCACACACACATGCATACTAATTTTAAATGCGATACTTTTGCCATTCTTTTTGCTTGTTATGAAGTCTTTTCTAAAGCTGCCAGTTGCTATGGAGATATATTGAAACAGAAAAATACTGCAGAATGTCCATTCCCATGTCAACCAGGGTCTTGTCTATCTGTGCTATTGCCAGTTATCTTCTCCAAATTCAACTGTATCTGTAGGTTGCTGAATAACGTAGTGGTGACTTAGAGGTGGGAGTGAGGTCTACCAAATAGTTTTGACTGAGTTGGTTGGAACAAAACCAAGTTGAGAACCTACTGGCTTCTTCTCCCTGAACCATGTGTGCTGGTTTCATGCTGCCTCATCTCTATAATTACCTACGCCAAGGATGGGTCTCTGTGTCATCTGAACCTGGTGAGGTGGGTGGCTTTAAACCACCCCCCAAAACACGGTCTATTCTAGGGTTTGTGGGTGGTTTAGAAGCCAAACCCAGGTTCATATGACATGGCAACCTGCCTCCAGCTTGGGTAAAAATGAAAATCAGATAGCACATGACTGACACAGTTAGATCAGGAAAAAGAAGCCACAGTGGCTTCCTTTCCTTCAGTTATCACGTGAAGCCACTCTCTATGTCATGATGATTTTCTTAAATATATTTAAATAGACCCTGCTTAAAGAAATCTAATCTTTGGCAGCTATCTTTATTTTAGGACTATGAGATAGAGATGTGCTTTATCTTGGTAATTTCACATGTGTTTAGGAAAATAGCATTATTGATATGCTGTAACTAGGAAACTGTCATATTGGGAAGTCCAAAGGAAGAAAATTAGATTAGTATTAATATGTTCATAAAGGCTCACACTGGGGCTGCAGCCCCAAGGGGAAGTAGGTAGAATGACCATCTGTGGCTAAGGAAGGAGTCAGAGCTGGACACCATAAAGAACAGTATGCACCCTCAGTCCCCTGGGTTAAAATGCAGGACTGTCCCTGTTTATTTAATCCCCTAAAATCTCTTTCAGTTTTAATACCTGGGGCATAATGTAAAGGTACCCAATGGTAATTTCAACAGTCTTCCCCATAGTTCATCATGAGAGAACGGTGATGCACCTGATGGATCTGGAAAGAGAATATGATAGTCTGTCTCTGGTCCAAACCTGAGGCAGGCCCAGCTCTTAAATGCAATAAAACACAATACTTATCAGTGAGGGTCTTTTAACTAGCAAAGTTACTGCATGGTTTCCCTTGCTTTCCCCTCCTGGGTGCTTATCCAGCTCTTTTTCTTTGTCCACCCCATCACTCACCTGTCTGTACTGCTTTCCTTTTTTGCTCCTAGCTAATCTGTGTCTTTGTATCACCTTGGCAAGGGACATGTTTCTGACTTCGTGTTAGATATCAGGAAAGTCAGCATTCTAAAGTTGAGCAAGGGCTAGACTTGCTAGGTTTCCTAGCTCCTTGCTTGCTGTTGTAATGCTACATCCAAACTTGGACGTCCATTTCAACACTTCTTTAAAAACTTCAAGCAGGTATGATAATTAGACTAACAGAATATTAGTGAGCTTACGTGGAATTTTAATGCTGTTGTTTTCTATAGACTTAGAGGCAAAGAGACTTATAGTATTAAATCAGCAGAAATGGATCTTCTTAATAGGCTCTGGGGTTTTAAGTTCATTTTAGTACTGCCCAGTTATCTCTGATGGTTCAGAAAGGAACCCTAGCAAAGGGATTTCATGCCAGCTATGCTTCCAGCCTTATTCTTTTGTTGGCTTTGTATAACCCCTAAATACTGCAAAGAATATCCATATTCTCACCTGTGTAATTATGAACTTTGGTGATAACGGTACAGTAAGCAGAAACCTCCATAACATCCTCACCACCTCCATGTTCTTATGTTGCTTCCATCCATTGTGTGTGTGTTCAGTCACAAAGTCATGCCCGACTCTTCATGATCCCATGGACCATAGCACACCAGGCTCCCCATCCTCAACTGCCTCCTGGAGCATCCCTAGCCCCATGCCCACCTCACCAATGACTCCATCCAGCCACCTCAGCCTCTGTCGCCCCCTTCTCATTTTGCCTTCAATCACTCCCAGCATCAGGTACCTTTCCAGTGAGTCCTTCCTTCTCATTAGGAGGCCAAAGTGTTTGACTTTCAGCTTAAGTATCTATCCTTCTAGAGAACAGTCTGGGTTGATTTCCTTTAGGACTGACTGATTTGATTTCTTCTCTTATTCATTATAGTGTTGTTAATGCATGAGTACTTCCAGTTGATGATGCCAGGTCCTTGGAATTCTTGAAAGCCGTTCTAGATTTAGTGTGATGAAACTGGCATACCTTAACCCAATGCTTTTTATATATTTTTCTAGACATTTCAGCAGTCCTCTCTACAGCACAAGTCTAAAAAGAAGAACAAAGGTAAGTATTATATTAAATGGTTTCTTAAATATTGGTAGATATATCCATGAAGTTTAAAGTTGGCAGTTTAAAACTAACAAAATTGCCATACCTATCTCAGCGCATATTGTCTAAAACCTTTGGGAGTTCTTGTGTTCCTACATTTGGTGTTACCCAATCTGGTGCCTTCTAGCTAGTTTAGAAAACATCTGCGAGCATTCTGACCATTAGCCACACTGGCAGGGGCTAATAGGAAGTCAAGTTCAAGGTATCTAGGGCAACAGATTGAGGAAGGTGGGTCTATTCTAAGTTGAAATATCTTCTGTAAGCATTATATAATCTTAACCAAGCCTTCACTAAACTTGCTACCACTGTAAAGGACTATTACTCAGTCAAAGCTACTTACCAGTAGACATAAGCTGGAGCTACATCACGATGTACATTTTGGTCATAACCATGGATGTTTAGTCAGGATGGAGGCATTATGTCGTTAACACATGTCCTTTCTGAAACAATTATTTATTCCTAGGTCTTGCACCAAGCAAGAGTAAAAGGCGGATTTCTTGTAAAGATCTTGGTCGTGGAGACTGTGAGGGTTGGCTCTGGAAAAAGAAAGATGCCAAGAGTTACTTCTCACAAAAGTGGAAAAAATATTGGTTTGTTCTGAAGGAAACTTCTCTGTATTGGTATATTAATGAGGAGGTAAGAAACTGACTTCCATATTGCTTTTCTTGCAGAAGGTTTTGATTGGGCCTGAATACTATATCCATGGTCCAAAAGTCTGATCATAACAACTTAAAAGCTGTCTAGTATAACACCCTCTTCAATTAGATGCAGAAAACCATCAAACAGGACATGAATGCAGTACGGTCCTCCTAGTTGTGTTCCCTATCAACTAATATGGAAGAAAGCCAAATATAGCAGATAAAATGCTGCTTTTGTTGTTACATGTGTGGGTATTTTATTTGATTTGCTTAGGGTTTTGTTTGGTTTCAAAAACAACCTTTTCACATTTACAGTAGAAATTACTACAGCAGAAAGTAATTGTGAAGTGTATCCTATAATAAGTGGAGCTTGTAGTCTGTACATTCTTTCCTATGTATTTATTAAATTAGTCTTCCCAATTAATGCAGAATATGAGCAGTTTATGTCTTCCTTTTGTTCAGGAGGAAGGTCAACAGGTTATATTAAGACTTATAAGACAGATTGTTGCAGTTGGATGGTACTGACAGGTGCTGTGGGAATTATTCAAGAAGCTATGCATTCTCAGGAATCCATATTTTCTTTTGAGAATAAAATGGTCCATGCACTGACATACATTGCATAGACCAATAATTTCCTTCTAATACAATATAATATCCTATTCATATGAAGGATTTTGGCTTGGGACGTTCCGTTGTTTAGAAACTGAACAGTTTGTGGTCCAGCTTTTGTGAGAGAATAGAAAATGGTTGGTTTGGCTGGAATTAAAACATCAAGCTGAAGATATGGGGAAAGTCCCACAAATACAAGAACTAAGAATAAGAAATGTTGACTCTGTAGGAATGGTGCAAGGTAGGCAATGGACTGAAAAAGAGGACTCTGATCAACGTTTCTTTAAGAATTGATCTTAATTGATCTTAATTCTTTTAAGTTTCTGTAAGGGTAACTTACTTATGCTTATACTGGCCAGGTCTTATGTATAGCATCTAAAGATCTATGCTTAACCACAAGTTCTTATTGAAACATCCTTTCTGACAAGAAACTGGTTTTTGTTGAGGTTTAATGAGGTTACAAATGAAGGATTGTTATCCCATAAAAAAGGGCAAATACATTTATATTTACATGCTGTTTGTTTGACTGCTCTTTCTATTCTTCTTTATTCTCATCATCATAGGATGAAAAAGCAGAGGGATTCATCAGCCTACCAGAATTTAAAATTGATAGAGCAAGTGAATGTCGCAAGAAGTAGTAAGTATTAGAAATAATATTCAGAATAGTTGAACTGCAAAGTTTGGCAGTTTCCTTTAACTGACTGTATTATGACAATGGTCTTAATTGCAAATTTGTGATACGAAGTTCAACTTCGCTAAACTGCTTTGGTCCTCAATTCAGTATAAATAAAATTTTTCAGATGGGCATCTAGCCAACCTTTGCGCTTAACGTCTGTTTCAAGTTATGGATACTTGTGCCAATGTAATACCCCAGGGTCAAGAACCAAACTGGAAGCTTCCATTACTGACAGAAATCATTTCTACATTTGGTTAAGAAGGAAAGAGGCTCTGAAATTTCCCATTACTGTGAATAACTTCATGGTTACACATCATGATCAACAGCCTGTCAGAAATTAAGCACATTTGTTTTGTTTCTGTTCAGCTGCTGGATTTTAAAAGTAAAAGGCAGTATGCTAACCAGAGGCAATATGCTATCAAACTCACAGGGACATTCCTGTGTAATAAAATGTGACTCAGGAGTTTTGCATTCAGAAACTTTTATGACATATTTGCCTAACAGACACAATTGCCCCAATTAATAAGTGACATCATACTTAACAGAAACATATTGTGACTCAAGCTGTTTTATGCTGAAATATAGCTGCTGGCATTTTTTTCTTCTAAGCCCAAGTCCTGTGCTTACATTCTTAGGAGTGGCAGTACAATTCTGTACAAGTACATGTCCACTCAGAAAGAAACTCCAATGAGTTTAGTGGGATTTCTTTCCAGGTAAGTATAAATAGGATTTAAGGCTCAGTTGCACTTGATTAATTTGTCCTTACCTCTCAATAGACTGTATAGGATTACACTGTAAGAAGTTGATAAAGTGACTGTTGTAAAAGTAGAGTAATTATAAACCAAACTGCCCATCGCAATTCAATTGATGTCAATTGATCATTGTCAATCGATTTCCAACTTAAAGCAGACTTTGAAAAAGTAGATGATGAACTGTTTTACTATTGAAAAAGTACAGCTGCATACTTTGTATTTACGCATGGTACTTTGTGGTATGTTCCCCTGCACAGTGCATTCAAGGCCTGCCACCCAAAGATCAAAAGCTTTTACTTTGCTGCTGAACATCTGGATGACATGAACAGGTATTGAAATGTGGATTTGCTTCATTATTTTTATTTTATTTTTATACATTTATAAAAAAAATATACCTTTCTTTCATTGTGGCACTTGAGGCAGCATGCTAGGCAGTCTGTGAGCCTTCATTTAAAAACCAGCTGAGAAGTCAGTGAAAACATTGAGCTATCTATTAATTTCATTCCAAGAACACATGTAAATACAACATATGTGTTCATGTAAACGTGAGTGTGTGTGCACACCCACTGACTCTGCTTCAGAAAGGATCACTCCCTCTCTAAGAACAGGAAGCTATAGTGCTAGATGAGAATGCTCTCACTCTGACTCTACCATGTCCTGGATTCAGCACACTGCTGCCTTCATGAATCCATTCAGGGCTCCCATCTCAGCTGCCAAAGTGGGTAGGAGTCTGGAATCACTTCACATCAATCCTCTCTTGGTCAGTGGGAAGGAGGGACATTTTCTTTATTAAATGTAAAAATGAAATATAACAAAACCACTGATTTTCACCCAAAAGGGCAAAACCGAACCATTTGGGGACATCATCTTGTAAAAATAAATATAGTCATAGAGATGTAGCTTGTCAGTGAAAGGTAGTTTACAGCATCCCAATCTACTCAGATTTTTCAGACCTTTTGGAATGTATCATATTTTGGCATCAGTAAAAGAGAACCCAGTGACAATTCTGTTTCAATTATATCTAGCTTTTCTTCTTCTTAGTACTTAAGATTTCTCACTCCATTTTTCTGTATGCTGTGTTTATTTTCTGAAATGTTTAACAGTCATAGTATGCAACTACCCCATTATATGTTATCTTCTTTAGCAGTGTTATTGGTGCTATTCACAATCAGTATAAAAGTCTTGGTTGTTCTAGAACGTGGATACTTGAAGCCTAGCAGCCTCAGCACACGTACTGAGGCTCTGATGCTTGGACTCATGCATATGTAGGGCACAACCAAGGATAGTCTTGTTTTCCTCAACACTGGAAATGTTCCATGAACATAATGAAGTAGATGTACAGAATATTTTTTGGCACTGAAAAGAACAATGTGCATATCAGAGCTCTGAAGAGCTTATGTTGACAGGATCAGTACAATATGTTCTAGAGCAGTTATATCGAACTCTCAGTATACTGTCTTCCAAAGGCTGCTTTTTCCCTGTAGAGCTAAATCAGATTTCCGGAATTAAGAAATGAACTGGCACCAAATAAACCTAATTAACTTTTTATGATATATACCTTATATACCTTCTGACACATTATTTTTCAAAATATATGTACATTATTATAGATTACCATTAGATGTTAATACAAAAAATTGTTGTGTAGAGATATTTTTCTATTAAGCAATAGGTAGGTAGTATTAATAAATAAAACAATACTGAAGCTTAGATTTAGAAAGTTTAATTCATGCTTTAAGCTAAGAGCCAAACATATCTCTCCCCTTTTGCAGGATCCATTACTGGAAAATTTGAAACTATTCCTTCTATTTCAAAATATTTTTGAAACATCTGAGTGTGGTGTTGTGGTCAGAGTACTGATCTTGGGACCTGGGAGATCCAGGTTCTAGCCCCACTGACCTGTGAAGCTCACTGGGTCACTTTGGACCGCACAGACACTCAGCCTATCCTACCTTACAGGGTAATTATTGTGAGGATGAAATGAAGCTGTGTAAGCTGCCTTGAGCTCGTCGCAAGATGAGAAAGGAGGAATATACATGTAATGTAATAGTAGCAGTAGTAGTAGTCTGTACCAAAATTGTTCTTCATACCACTGCCTTTCCATGAACTAGCAACAAAAATAGAGCATATAAAATTTGTTAGAAATCACATCTGGAATTATGAAAAAGGGATCAAATCAGATTTGCCAGCCTGGCTTAAGCATTCATTTCCCTTTAGACTGCAACTATTGTTGGAAATGGACCGAATGGCAAACTTAGTCTACTCACAATATGGCAAAGGCAATGCTATCAATATGCCGACAGCTGATTTATGTCTTACTCCTTTTGTCTATATTGTGCTGCGAGTCTCCCAATACAGACAACAAACTTATCAAATAGTTAGGTCTTTTACCATGATTGTGTTTTGTTATCAATATGAAAATCCTTGCTGTATTTTCCTGCAACACATTTTAATGTGTAGTAAAGATAGTAAAATAATTGCCTTTATTGCAATTAAATATTTTTCTCTTTATCCCAAAGTAAATTTGGCACTTTGATACAGGCATCAGTGATTTTGGTATCTAGCAGAAGAACATCTTAGTCTCCTATTGAGATCCATGGAAATAAAAATGAATGGAAATTTGTAACAAAACATTTTCCATTCTAACAATGGAAAATGAAATGACTAAAGGTTTTAAGAACATTTTAAACAACATTTTTTCATATCATAATGCATACACCTAAGATTTCATGTTTTATTATGATGTCTCTTTAGGCCTTCTTTAGATTTCCCTTCGTGAGGATAAACCCTGTAGTTTAAACAAAATATTTCCAGTTCGTACTTTTCTTTGCAGAAAGAGGCCATAAAAGTTTGGCCCAATCTTCTGTTGGTTATACAAATTAATGGCATTTCTCAGCTGTTGTAAATAAATACTTGATTTATTTGTCATCCAGCTTCTGAATAGAAATGCTTAAGAGTAATAACCTCACCGGTGCTGCTCCATCCTAGTAAATCAGGGCTTTGTTTCAGGACTATCTGAATGTCACTGTAACTTGTTTGGACACAAAAACTAAGGGTCATCTTCTATTTGCAGAAAAGGAGTGTGTGTATATAAGTGTTCTGCATAGTTTCTAAGGAAAAGTGATCAATCATAGTTCCTTGGATAAGGATTGTTAACAGAGACACTGTTGAGCCAAGCTACAAAAAGTTGATGTTCCAGTTAGTCAAATGTTGTTGTATTGTATTTTGGAATACATTAGTTCAGAAAACTTGACAGCTCAGTATTGGGAAAGTAGCTCCAGCTTCACCAAGGTGAGGCTGTGATGTCAGAAGTCCAGGCGTCTGTGAATCTGATTTATTGTGAGCTTTTGGATAATTATTTGATACGTCAAGGGAGAAAACCCTATTCCTACAGGCAGTTTATCTCTCACAATGACAGTATTGCTGTAATAAAATAATAGTCTTCTTTAACTCATGCTGCTTATTGAGGTTAGAGCTTCTCACATGGAAGGATTATTTTCATCCCTCGGTCTCTTTGATGCACTTGGTACATATAACACTGGTTAGGTGAGCTTTAAACTTAAGAGCAGTATAAGGGAAAACATTCTGAATTAGGAAACTTTTTCTGCTGGTATGACAAATAAGGGTTTAAATATATTGGCTAAATCTTTAAAGGATAGGATTTGATTTGAGAAATTAGATCAACAGGAGTATATCAGTATATAGTGACACGTCTGTGAGCAACAGATTTAATGGAGCTTTGAATATCTAAACGTGCTCCATTTTTAAGTCCTTTTAGTATCCTTGTTGAAAGTTTTTAGAATATTTGATAGGAAAAATTTGAGTAAATTGAAGATCACAAGAATAAAGCTGTTTGCTTTTCCTTTTCTAGAAGCTCTCTATATTTTAATTTTATAAAGGGAAAATTATTTACAAAGACATGTACTTTCCTAACTTAGTGTCAATGGTCTATTTTAAAATATTATTTCAGGTGGCTGAACAGAATTAATATGCTTGCTGCTGGGTATGCAGAAAGAGAGAGGATTAAACAAGAACAAGGTATGGGCCAATTGCATGAGCTTTACTTTCCTACTTAAAGTGATCCTTGCTCTCCCCTAAACACTTGTATTTCCCCTTATTTAACAAAATCCTTTCAGATATAAGAGCTGTTGTTCTTGTGTGGTTCTTTATTCAAAGATATATGAACGTTTTTTATCAGCTGCATGTTTGATTTCACAAAGAGGAACAAATAATTTAGTTTATGTTGATGAGTCAGAACATATTTGTAAATTATATGGATTTTGTTTACTTAACTTTTCCAACCAACCAGCCTAAGGTCTAGTACATTTTTAAAAACTTTGACTTTTAGATCAGACAAGGGAATCTTCAGGAAATGTGACTGATCAACAATATTTTATTTAGTGTTGTACATTCCCATAGTGCTGTTTCTTCCACCGATTCAGCATGTGGAATTTTATTATTTAAGCTAGAAATTCCTGGCAATGGCTTTAAGATACATGATAGAATAAATGGATGAATGCCAGTACTGAGCTTATTTCTTACTTTCTATGTTATGTAGCATATAGATACTAAAATTTGTTGAGTGATCCCATATCTGTGAGTTCTCCTATCCTTTTTAGGTCATGAAAATAAATTACAAAAACTACACAGCAGCTCGTAAACGCATGTAATGATATACATCATTTTCTCAGACTATGAAGTGTGTGGGCATTTCTTTTTCCTCTAAGTAGAGATTATGTGCAGAAAAGAAGGTTATCTGCATATGTGAAATCTGATAATTAAGCTTCTGAAGGGGCACTTTGGAACTTCATTTTCAGTTGCTTTTAACCATTCAGAACACAGCATGATTATCTTTTCCCAACCCACCCACCCCCCATCCCTTGCGAAAGCTTTTTTATGTAAAGACTGCAATTATTTGAATAATCAAGGGATATAAAGCATTCCACCCGGGTATCCAGAGATAATGTAGAACCCATAACCTTCATGAAGTCTCCTATAGACTGAAGTTCCAAAAGAAACTGAACTTGAAATGCCTTGCATATTTTACATTTTTTCCCTTTTCCTTCATTTTTATGGACACTCAATCTTTCATGGCCTAGCTGCTCCCAATAATATAATTAATTTCTTAAATAGTCTGCCTGACATCGTGTAGTCCCCTTTTACTTTCTGTTAAAATGAAAATGAGGGCAGACCACAGAAAACAAGGAAATTCTAGGATTTTAACATAGTTGTGATTAGACAGCTATGTATCCTTTCCCTTAAAACAAAAAGTAGAAGGGAACATATGAGTTAATATCTTTGGTATACATTTTGAACCTACAGGTTCCCTTTTTAGACAGCAAGATGCTAGTATTCACTAGTCTTCCTGATGTCTATATGTTCTGAAATTCACACATCTGAGAGTCACACAGAACACTTTTATTTTAATTAACATTATTTTTGTTTTAATTTACAAAATTTTAATATTCCTACATGAACTAGTTACCAGTGTCCCCAAAAGTAATGCCTTATGATGGTCTCATTCTTTTTCTGTCTTGATAGCCATTCTACAGTTACCTGAATCCTGAAAAAGAATGATGAGGAACATGTTTTCTAAAGTTTCCACTTCTGGGTTTTGCGTGCTCTTCCCTGTTTTCTATTGAAACCCATGTTACTTAAGGGCATAAGAGTAAGAAATATAAGCAGAATTTCCAGTGGAATTAATGAAGTTATTGACCTCCATGGAACTTAAGTATAACTTACTTACTATTAGGCTGCACCTCTAAGACTGCAACTCTGTACTCATTTGCCTGAGAGAAATTCCTCTTAAATTCACTGAGGCTGACTTCTGAGTAAAAATAGAATTGCACTAAGTAACAATGCATTCTATGCATGTTTATTCAAAGTAAATCTTAGCAACCCAATTCACACATAATGACAACCATGGGTTAAGCCATGAATTGTCCAGGAAAGTTAGCAACAAACAAACACACTGTCTCCAGTGCACTCATCACTTCTGCTTTCAATTAATAATATAGGAATCCTAGTTCCAGGCCTAGAAACTCTGGTTTGTTTAGAGGTTAACCAACCCAGAGTTGATCCATGGATTATTGTTGGGTTAACCCTTAGTGGTTCAACCTTTAAACAACCCAAAATTTACAGGTTCAGATGACAGATTAACAAACCAGAAATGGAGGGGATTGCTGCTACTGCTACCTTGTTCCTACAAACCAGGAACTGTCATTACATGTGAATTAGGTCACTGTTCAATGAAGCTTACTCCCAAGTAAATGTACATTGGATTGTAGCCTAATTGTTAGACAAACTAGTAAATAGACCCCATCGGGATTCACATCCTAATGATTTAAAAGGATGACTAGTTTTATGTTACATAAATGTTACATTTATGTTACATAAACCTATGATTCTTTATAGGTTTCTTTATATGGACCTATATAGGGGTTTTTCTTAATATACTTCTTCTATGTATGTATTCTCCAAAATAATATAAGGTTTTTATTTTAATTTGTATTGCTTAGATTACTGGAGTGAAAGTGATAAGGAAGAAATAGACACACCATCAACACCCAAGCAGGACAGCCCACCTCCACCTTATGACACATACCCACGACCTCCTTCGGTAAGTAGTCATATATAGCTGGCAGCCTGCAGCTATCCACACAAAGCTAGTTTAGAGCCCCTGTGCAGCTGCTATATATTCCAGGCAGCTTTGTATGGGAGTACATTTTGGTGTAGCAGAGCTAAACTACATGCTAAACATAAGATGAGCAGTGTTTGTTTGGCAACATATAGGTGCATGAGGGGGGTCACATGAAGGTGTGTGGAGACCTGTTTTCCTGTGAGGAAGAAGGCAGGACATGTTCCAGTGGAACAAAACTAAGGGAACCTAGGTTCAATTTGGATGCCGGGAAGTACTTCATGATACCCTAGGGTATGGAATGGGGTTCCACAGGAGGTGGTGAAGCCCTATTGGTGAGGGTGTTCAAGGATAGGCTAGACATGCACATGGTAGGCATGTCATGAGCGGAGCTGGCTGGAGCCGGGGGGTCAGACTAGATGGCCCACGAGATCCCTTCTGACTCACTCTGTTTCTATGGTGTGTGATACACATAGTAAATGACTAAACCCAATGCACAGGGGAACAAGTAAGGCAGGCATAGGACTTTCAAAGGATGTAATCTATAAAGAAGTATCTTCGTGTTCTTTTTACAACAAACATTTTTGTTAAAATGCCAGCTTTATTAAAACACGTGTTACATAATTAGGTCTTTATCAGAATATCGTAGAGAAAACAAATTTAATTTGCACGTTGAAATTACAATGTGAAACTAGCATGGAGACAGCATTCCTAATTAGCAGAACAGGAAAGCATATTATCCATCAGAACAAAAGAGATTCTGTGCTTGTTTAAATATCTGTTTGAAGTGTGCATTGGCTTCTTAGCTCCAAAGATTTGTGCATGACACAGATTATGCCCCTGTCTGAACAGGAATAGCCTTGTTTTAGTAATCCACAATTGAGTAATCTCCAGGTTAAATTACTGCAATGCAATCTATATGGGTGGTCCTTGAAGACAGTTTGGAAGCTGTAGCTTGTGCAAAAGGTGGCAGCCAGATTAATAACTGGAACCAAAAGTTCTGAACTTAGAACAGCAATTCTGGCCTACTTGCAGCTTGCTTTCTGCCTCTGGGCTTCTCAGCACAGTTCAAGGTCCTGGTTTTAATCCATAAATCACTAAGACTCTCTTTATCGTGAACTGAAGCCAGATATGATCATATTGCAGATGAGCTGCGCAAGTCCTTTTGTGGAACCAAAGCATAGCCGACTCTCATCCACTGAAACGTCCCAGTCACAATCTTCACATGAGGAGTTCCGTCAAGAGCCTGTCGGGAGCACTGCTGAATCTCCCATTCGCAAAACAGCTAGCCAACGACGTTCTTGGCAGGATTTAATAGAGACTCCGCTGACAAGTTCAGGACTGCACTACCTTCAGACTCTACCACTGGAGGACTCCGTTTTCTCTGACTCTTCTGTTATCTCTCCAGAACATAGGCGGCAATCCACTCTTCCTACTCAAAAGTGCCACCTACAGGATCACTATGGTCCTTTCCCTTTAGTAGAGGGTGAGCGAATGCAAGTCCTAAACGGGAATGGGGGGAAACCCCGCAGTTACACTCTCCCACGAGATAGTGGGTTCAACCATTGCTGCCACACACTTTCTGTCAGTGCCTCCAGCCATCAAGAAGAAGTGTCACAGAAAGACCAAGATAAGGAACAAGGGAGAGGCGAAGTAGCACCAGAAAACCAAGAAAATGAAAGTAAGTGTTAATTCTCTTTGAATAATGATACAAATTAAGAAATAAATTGCATGTAGAATAGGAGCATTACTTAAGCATACATATTTTATCCTTTCTTGTTTTTATACAGTAAAATGATTAATTTTATTAGCTTTTGATATAAAAACAATTTTATGCATGTTCAAGCAAATTTCGGAACAGCTTCATTTGCAACACCTAATTATTTTATTTTTTTAATTATTGTACATTATTAATATTATTGCTATTAGTGCATTTTATCTTATTTGCTAGTATGCTTATATCTTGGTCACTAGTTTCTTTCACAGTCCTTTGTTTTATTATGTTTGTGTAGTTCCTGGAACTTTGGAAAGCAAATATTTCATGGTAAATATGAAAAATAAATTGTTTGCCCTGGGGTTCTTGTACCCTGTAAGGATCCTAGCACTGGTTGTTCCAGTTGGGCCAATGGATTCTAAGGACTAGGACAAACATTTTCCTTTCCCACTTTGAATAGCACACTGCTACCGTGTTGCAAAGGATGCTGGTGTGCCACTCTGGATTGCATGCTGCTTCGCTGGTGCTCTACCGCTGTAGCTTGTACGGGCTTCTTGGGCAGTAAGGCAGGCCCTAGACTCCAACAGATAAATACTAATTTGGAAAAAACATGCAATGCAAGATTTTTTTTCACTAACATTGTGGTGTGTTGTATTGCATACTGTGAACCTAGTAATTAGCTGCATAAAATGTAAACATCGAATACTGAGCATAGAAGTTTAAATCTCTGTTTCTGTTACACTATGGATCCCAGTGTTCTATTCATTTTAGTTGTAATTTATTTTACAATATAGGTACTTAAACATATGTTTTTCATTCTGGCCCTGTGTTGTTTACAGCAGCCTTACTTACAGGAATGGAAATATGGGTAATGCTAGCAGAACACTTAGAAGTGTGAAAGGCATTTTTCTGGCATAATATACCTATAATAAAATAAGTTCCCTTATCTCCAGATTTAGGAAGACTTCGAAAATCCTTTCAGACAGATGTTACATACCTCACTTTGTAGAAAGTAAGGAAAGAAAGCAGCATAGTTCTTTTCATATTCTACTGAGTTTTGAAAGAAACTACTACAAGGGAAAAGAAACTAGAGCATTTAAGGAAGAAACTGAAGATAGTGCTAAAATGTGCCATAAATTCTTTCACATTATGTATAGATTCATGATGTTTGCCAAAGTAAACATGGTCAGTGGGATGTCGATCAGATTGCCTCAGCTACATGCAGTTCCCAAGCTCATGTGCACTGTATTTTGCACTGCATTACATGAATAGATTTGAAGCTGTTGAAACGTAATGAGTATTTTCTGGCAAACAGTGGTGTACATTTAGTAGATCATAAAAAGTGCAGTGGCTTTTACAGATGTCTTTAAGCAATCACTGAGAGAGAATGATTATATGTCAAAATGAAAGATACTAAATATTTTAGCTTGGAAAGTCTTGTTAATCATTTGGCAAATTATAAGCCTTAGGATGTACCTGAAATTTAAAGTGGAGGGGTGCTATTTGATTGTGTAACATATACAAAGGATGTACTATATAACATGAGTATCCAAGCTCATTCTGCACTGGATAGAATCAGCTCTGATGATGCATTGCATGTGCATTGTCTACACTAGACAGAATCAGTTATAGTTGAGTATTTGGCTGTAGTTAGACTTGATGTAACTTTGTTAGATCTTAGAAATGTCTTCAACATGCAAGCAGAAGGACAATTAACATGCTATAATTCTCTCCTGGAACTATTCAGTGTAAAAAATATACATGTGTCGTGTGGTGTCTTAGATATCTGAAGCTATACAAAATAATGGGCCATGTGTTGTCTGAGAATATGCAGAAAAATACATTCAGAGAAAGGCTGAAAATACACTACCAGGGGGACCAAAAACTTTGGATCTCTAAACAGAAAGTACAATGCATATAAATCATCTTCATCTACTTTGAGAAAAGTTCCCAGTATAACTTGAAATGCTCTTTATTTTCTTATGAAAGCCAGTGCACATTCTAAAAATGATGTTTGATAAACTATAGCAACAGTTGTATGTGAGTATATAGTTTATGCTTGGCTACATTCAGAATTTGTATATGAGCCCCAATATAAGTTCCCATAAACAAATCAGACTGCAAAACAAGTGACTTTTAAAAACTGGTTTCATTTGCTATCTGTTACCAATAATTTGATAGCTTAGACTGATTTCCTAATGTAGGTTCACTATTCCTGATGCTCCAGTTTAATCTCTTTTCTGGACTAAAGCAATAATGTAACCAGTTTGATCCAGTATTGAACCATGTAATACAGATTAGCATTCTTCATGTTTTTATTGTTATTCATAGAAAATTTAATATAATGAAAAGTATTCAACCTGAAGAATTATTTTAAACATTTTATGTTCACACATTATACAAGATACTCTAGAAACATTGGTCATATTTGAACTGAATTTTCAGTTCAGATTGTACTCATTGTACTGTGAGTTTCATTGAACTCACAGACAGTTCAGCTCTCATTTTTGCAATTTCTGGTAGCAAAGACTTATTTTCAGACTCACTGAACTGAGGCCTGTTGTTTAAACAATCCAGAGAAGCCTGGATTATTTGAATCTCGGTTCTCAAAGTCTATGTTCTATGGAGCCCTGTGTGCTACAGAGGCTAAAATAGATGGACTGAGGTGCATTCATATGTTTCAGAATTTAAATTGTATAAGTGATGCCACAATGATACTGCTCGGATGAGAATTAACATAGTTCCATGGTAGAGAATGGGCAAAATCTCATTCAGTTCACATTTCAAGAAGGCTTTCCAAATCTATATACAAAATAGAATGAAGTTAGAATGAAGTTAATGAAGTCAGCATACATACTTTTCAGATTGCTGAGTTTCTACCCATGATGGACTGTTGTGTCATTAGAACCTCAATTAATCTCCCTAGGATAACTTGGGATGTTCTAGGGGTTGCTTTACCCAGGATAGGATTTTATGTCATCTGAACTTGAGCAACCAATCACTCTGTGAGTATGGGGAATAGGCTATGGAACCACTTGGCAAAAGCAGAAAAAAGCACCTCTTACAACTCTTGCAAAGTGGGTTCTGGATGGCCACCAGTGCCAGCAGTCCTCAGTGTACCCAAGCAGCATTTGGGTTCAGGCTGATGCTAGTGCCCACCCACCACTCCACAGTTACAAACCATTTCAGTTCACTGTTGCTTTTTCCCTCATCCTCCCTTTTTTTACCTGGAGATCATTACATATCTGTTTTGACAGTCACTGGTAGGCCTTCAAAATACCCAAGTAGCACCTTGGTGGAACTCTCAGTGGTTGGCAGAACCCTTTTTTAAAAATTGTGGGGCAAAAATGCACAAAAAGTGCTTCCCCCCTTCTTTTTGGTTGTGCAGAAATTGGAAGTTTCAGCTAGCACATGGTCCTGGAAAGTGCTTTCTGCCAGGGCACAGCAGGTATCAACCCTCAGGTGTGAAAAGGTGAGCTGTCAAGAGAAAGCTAAGGCATGATGCAGCTTTGCATGTGAAAAAGGATGTTCTGGGATTTACATCCTCTCCATGGTTAGATCCTCATTTTTGCTCTCCACTCCAGCTAATCCATATGCTGGTCTACATTTTGCATTTTCCCCCAGGCCTCTAGGAACACCCACAGTTTTCTTTTGTTTTTTCAGGAAGGCAATATAGCCATATGTGCAAACCCACCCATTGCTTTATTAAATCCCCACCTTAGTTTATAGTGACCCAAAAACATTTCCCCCCATAAAAGTGGTATGTGTGCACTTTTGCACATTACTGAGCATCTTCAGGCTTGGAGAAAAATGCAAAGAGAAGAGGAGGTTCTTGCCATGAAGGAGGTGTAAATCCCAGAACACTCACCTTTTGACAGCTGGAGAAACTAGAATGTGGTGGGGGAACCCACCAAGGTTGGTAAAGTTGAGGCTTAAAATTCCCACACATGTGCAACTGTGGAGGTTTGTGGTTGTTCAGCTGCATCAAAAAAGCAGTACTGTTTTGCCTGTTTTTAAAGGTTCTGACAGCCTTCCACATGATGCTGCCCAGACACTTTGAAGGAGATATGAGTGGCTTTCAAAACAGGAACTGCAAAACAATCTCCAGGAAAAAATTGGCTCACCATCATGATGAGGAGGAGAGATACAACTTGGTTCTTCCATGTTATACTCAGGGAAACCATATGATGACTGAGGGAAGGACAGGGAGCAACAACCTACAGTGAGCCTATCTTGCATCAGGTTCACCATGGCTTTTTCCACCAGCAACCAACACACAATGCTTTAGTCCCAGGCTGGGTCAGTGTGATGTGTGAACATACTAGGCAGATTGCATGGAATCAGAGACATAAAAAAGCAAGGAAGCTGAAGCTTTAACTTTAAAAGTTACAAAATCTTTAGAAATACGTTGCTAGGGTCGTCTTCTTTGCTTTGTTTATGTTTGCAAGAAAAATAAAGACTCTTCTTTACTCCTTATTGTTTTTGTTAAGACACTGGTTTTAGACACAAGTCCTTAGCGGTTTTTTTCATTACAAATGATTCCATTGTTTTATATTATTGATTCTCTCCAAACCTTTCAGTAAGTAAAGAAGAGCCGGTATTTTTCCCTGAAGCAAGATACCCTTTCAAGTACTGGTTTCCAGAGACAAGAGAACCTCACATAGCATGTTTTGTGGCACTTAAACCATGTTATCCATCTGTGTTTCAGCTGAAACCTTACGTAATAATTATATTTGTTTGAAAATATGCTATCAAAACATTTTGGATAGAAGCAGGACACCTCTGTGAGAAAATTTCAGTCTTGTATGCCTAACAACCTGCACAGATATATTTGAAAAATTCTATAGTATAAATATTTTTTACTTTAGGAAATGTTTTGATACATTGCTGAAGGATATGACTTTCTGGAAAATTATAAGTAAAACTTTTTTGTTTCCAGATCAAAGGCGCTTTACAGTATTCTTTCC